TGAAAACATTAATGGATGTTGAAAAAAGAGCTCTTAGGGTTCCTAATCCTCCTCCTAGACCTTCTACCTTCACTGAAAAGGAACATAAAGAGGTAAAGTGTCAAATCCCACCACCACCACCACCGCCACCTCCACCACCACCTCCGAAGTTCACAGGGCGGAGTAACGGTGGTGGGGTTGTTCAAAGGGCTCCACAAGTGGTTGAGTTTTATCATTCTCTTATGAAAAGAGATTCCAGAAAAGATTCTTTAAATGATGGGATTTGTGATGCTTCTGAGGTTAATAATGTTAGAAATAGTATGATTGGTGAAATTGAAAATCGGTCTTCTCATTTACTTGCTGTAAGTTCCTTTTCATCTATAATTTATCATCTCTAGATTTACATTTTGCACAAATGATTCTCTGATTGGATTGGAATAACCCTTTTGTATAAATGTTTGGGTTAATTTCATAAAAACCTCAACTTTATTTTTTTTTGCCTGAAAAAGATTCTTTGATTGGATTAGAATAAACCCTTTTGTATAAATGTTTGAGTTAATTTCATAAAAACCTTATATTTTGTGTTAGTTTCAGCATTATTTTTTGCCTGAAAAAGAATATATATATATATATATATATATATATATATATATATATATATATATATATATATATATATATATATATATATATATATATACACCCCAAAAAACCCTCAAGTTTGTCTTCTTTTTGTTTTCAGAAAAAAATAGGTCAACTTTCTATCTGTTTCCAAATAAACCCTCAATTTTTTTAGTTTTTTTCAAAAAAAGCCCTCAACTTTGTCTTTGCTTTTGAAAAATCCCTCAACATTCTTACTGATTCCAAATAAACCCTCAACCTTTTTAGTTTTTTCAAAAAAACCCTCAACTTTGTCTTTGCTTCCGAAAAAATCCCTCAACATTCTTACCGATTCCAAATAAACCCTCAACTTTTTGGTTTTTCTGGTTTTTCTCAAAAAAATCCTCAACTTTGTCTTTGCTTCTGAAAAAATCCGTCAACATTCTTATTGATTTCAAATAAACCCTCAACCTTTTTAGTTTTTCTCGAAAAAACCCTCACATCTTACAATTTCTTTGGAAAAAATAACTAAAAGGGTCAGATCGAAAAAATGAAAAAAATACAAGGTCTTTAATTTGAAGTTTAATCAAGAAAAAGCAAAAAAAGTTTAAGGTCTTTTATGAGATTAACCCTAAATGTTTCTTTGATTGATGTGTGTACTTCATAACATAATGTTTTTTTTTTAATGTTTAGATAAAGGAAGATGTTGAGACACAAGGAGAATTTGTGAACTCATTAATAAGAGAAGTCAATGATGCTGTTTATCCAGATATAGAAGATGTGGTGGCTTTTGTGAAGTGGCTTGATGATGAACTTTGCTTTCTTGTAAGTCTATTGGTTCTTAGATCTTGTAATCACTAAAAAAAAGAACAAAATTCTATAAATTTCTTGAAATTTTCGCTTTCTTTAACCGATGATTGATTTTTTTTAATGGTTGTTAAAAGGTGGATGAAAGGGCTGTTTTGAAACACTTTGATTGGCCAGAAAAGAAAGCAGACACATTAAGAGAAGCAGCATTTGCATATCGAGATCTAAAGAAATTGGAACATGAAATTTCAAATTATAAAGACAATTTCCACATACCATGTGACATGGCATTGAAGAAAATGGTGTCTTTATCTGAAAAGTAAGAAACATTCACCATTTTTTGAATTCATTTTGTTACAAATCTTTATCTTTGAAATTAAACTTATTTGGTGTATATTTTGTAGAATGGAGCGTATTGTGTATAATCTTCTTCGAACAAGAGATGTATTGATGCGTAATTGCAAAGAGTTTCATATTCCCACAGATTGGATGCTTGATACAGGAATATTAAATAAGGTTTGCTCTCTTTTTACTTTTTTTTTCCAATATATTCAGTGTACTTAATTTTTTACAAATAATAGCAACATATGTACATTTTTTATTGGTAAGATCAATATGTTGCTCATAATAGCAACATACTAACAACTTTTGTTTATAATGACAATATATAACAAATAAGTATGTTGTTATTTTGGGCTACATCATGCTAATATTGGTAAAAATATATAAGTATATTGCTATCTAGGGTAAAAAAAGGATTAATCTCGTCAAAGACCCTATATCTTTTTTTTTTTTTTTTTTTTTTTTTTTCGGATTAAACGTCCATTTTATTTTTTTTCCTGAAAAAGACCCTGCACTTTTTCACTTTTTCCAATCTGGCCCTTCTAGTTTTTTTCCCAAAAAGACTTGTAAAATGTGAGGGTTTTTTCGAGAAAAACTAAAAAAAGTTGAGTGTTTATTTGGAAATAGTTTGAAGGTGGAAGGTTTTTTTCAGAAAAAAACAAAAAAATACAAGGTCTTTTTCAAAAAAATAGAATAACATCCAGATTAGAGTAAATTACATGAATGGTCCCTATGGTTTGGGGTAATTTGCGTGCTTGGTCCCTAACTTATTTTTTTAACAAGGTAGGTCCCTACTATTTGTTTTTGTTACGTGCTTGGTCCCTGTCTTACCTGAAAACACTATTACTTAAATAGGGAAAAATGGTGAGGAAGGTAAGGTAAAGTGGGAGTATGTTTATTTAAATAAATTAAAAAATCAAGGGCAAAATAGTCTTTTTAGGTAAGACAGGGACCAAGTGCGTAACAAAAACAAACAGTAAGGACCTTCCGAGTTAAAAAAATAAGTTAGGAACCAAACGTGCAAATTATCATAGGGACCATTCGTGTAATTTACTCTAAAGATTAAGTTTAATTCGGAAGAAACACAAAATATAACGTCTTTTATGAGATTAACCCTAAAAAAATATAGGTTTGATGCTATTATGGGTAAAAATAAAGCACATTGCCTATACCGGTGGTCTGTTTGTTGCATAGAACATAACAGGACAGGACAGGTTGTACTGTGTTTGACATGTATTGGACTGCTATTGAGATTGATGTCAGTGACACAATTTTTTTAATTTTTGGAGTTCATTTTCGTGGCAGATTAAGTTGGGATCGGTTAAGTTGGCGAAGCAGTACATGAGAAGAGTTGCTACAGAGCTTCAAATCAAGGGAACATCAGATAAAGATTCTTCAATGGATTATATGTTGCTTCAAGGAGTCAGATTTGCTTTTCGTATCCATCAGGTTTCTCATATATATATTTTTTACATATATATTACAACAACGAAAATTATATGAATTTCACATGATATGAAATATTATTTGAATATCATTCTTGTCTACTTTTTTGTAGTTTGCTGGTGGATTTGATGTGGATACAATGCATGCATTTGAGGAGCTTCGTAATGTGGCTCTGGTTTTAAACAAAAAGTAAAATGAAAAGAGGATTTTTGAGGGAGGGAATATGGATTTTTGTATAGAGTATGATTTAAGATGGTAGTTTTGGTATGAAGAAAAAATGAGGTGCAATCATTATCTTATATTTTTCTAAGTAACTACAAAATTATATATGTGTTAGGGGTTCAAGATTAGTTTGACCCTTACTTTTGATATTTTGTGTTTGCATTGCTTAAAAATTAAAATATATATATATATATATATATATATATATATATATATATATATATATATATATATATATCTTCTTTATCGGATACATCTTTAGATCGGATTAGAATATTGCATATGTTTATATTGTGTGTTAATATAAGGTATTAGATGATACATTTTGAATTAAAGATTGATATATGATAGAATTATATATTTTCAGTGTGTAACCACGTATGCACTTCAAATAACCACGTCTCACGAATCTCAGCTTTTGAACTTGTGTAAATACTTTTTCCTAACATAAAGTACCAATGATAAAACATTCGCAAGTATATGCTTAGCTAGAAATTTTTATGGTGATTTTTATAAGGCCTTACATTTTGATTTTTGTACGACCTAATTTTTTTTTTCTTCAAAAAAAGAAAACCAACATTAAATATATTTTTTGATTTGTACATATTTCGTTATTGAGTTTTTTTTTTGTCAACATTTAACCATTTAATGTTTTTTTTGTCCACATTTAGTCGTTAATGTTTTTGTACACATTTAGTCAACAAAAATGCAATTAATCACAAATGCTTATGGAAATCGACATTAAAATAGAAAGAAAGGAAGAAATGAGGAAGGAAACACGAACCTGAGAGAAGGAAATCGACAGCAGCAACGTCGGTGGCCGGAGAGGGGAAGTTTCCGGTGGCTGGCGGTATCTCTTCAACTATGGGCTGTTAGAATCGTTCGAGGAAGGGAGAATCGTCAGATCAAATGATCGGGAAAATGGAACAAAATGAGAGCAAATCGAAGCAGAAAGAGGAAGTGATTGGGAGTAATCTGCGTTGATCTTTAGCGGCGACACCCAATAGCAGCGACAAATGAATTAATACCGGCGACACTAATCTTTAGCGGCGACCTACGAAGAGGGAAAATAAGGCGCGTTTTTTCAACCTTTAGCGGCAACAATTTAGGTTTGTAGCGGCGACATTTTGTCACCAGTATTGGTTTTGTGCGTTCCATGAGTTTCTCATCCGTTGGATTAGAAAAACGATCTCACGGTTGGCATTCAACAGAACATGAAAATGCAGATTCAGGTAGGTAAACATTACTGGTGACACCGATAACGGCAACAGAACCTTTAGTGACAACTTTTCGATTTGTCGTTGCTAAAGGTGCTGTCGCCGCTATTGGTGGCACCGGTAATGGTTGTATTACTTGTAGTGAACGGAAAAAAAAATACTATGAAAATGGAACTCTTGTATTAGGTTACATGGGAGAAGAGAAAGATGAAGAATCAATAAAACTTGACATCCAAATGGATATATTAAATATCCTTACAGAGTTTCCAAATGATACCCTAAAACCCTTATAATCAGGAAACATTTCTCTTTAAATAATTAAATATTATTAGGTGTTGTAATCAAATAATAACTCCTTCAACAGGTGTTATTTACGGGAACCTACCTATAAAAATAAAATAAGCATGCAATTCGACTACCAAGGTTCTCATTATGAACTTTGGCAAGCTGAGCATCTTCATCATATATCGTCAATTTTTTTTTTTTTTTTTTTAGCTTTTCTTCAGAATTTCAATGACTATATCCTTGTCTCTGTCTTTGTAAGATCCAGCACTTGTTTCGGGTGGAGGAGTTGGACTGGATTCACCAATCACAATGCCTTTAAGTAGATTTTTTGTTGGAGGTGCTTGGGGCGTGGATGACTGACCTGGACTGTATTCTATCTGTATGGGTGTCTGTTGAGGAGGTGGTACTTTTGGAATGACATACTGAATAGGAGTTGGGTTAGTACCTGTTTGAATTCGAGTAAATGGTTTTGTTGGCCTCTTAATCTTTGGAACTTTGATCAATGGTTGGTTTTTGAGATCATCTTTAATCTTTTTCCTTCTAACTTGGTTCAAAGCTTGAATTTTTTCAGCATCTACTCTTATTATCTTGGAAGATTCATTGATAGGAATATGATCATTAGAACCAGAACTATCATCTAGATTGATCTTATCCTGATGAAAAAATGAACCATAAATTCACATTTTAGAAAAAAGCATGTTGACGTAATCCATGTAGATAAACATGGTGGTATATATATACAATTACGTACCATCTCCTTCTGTACATATTCTTTGTTGACAGGAATCATGTGATCCTGTTGCCCAAGGTTGTTCTGTACATCCGGAATCTAACATAAGACAAGAAACATTAGCAATAAGCACATTAAATAATGTACTAATTAAATCAATACATTTCTAATTTCCCAAATAATCACTTGAAAATTACATCATAAGTCATAACATTTTTTGTTAGAAAAGGATGGCAACAGGTTAATTAATTACTTTTTTTAGTAAATTATATCATAACATCCAGATATCAAGCTAAATACGTAATACCACGTGACATGATATTAAAAGAAGGTAGTTTGGATCTGAGACTTTAAACATCTTGTAAACGATGATAAATGCATTGGACCAACATTTTTCCTATCATCTCTTAATTGGCGTCAAATGATTTGCTTAAAAAGAAAACAATACTCACCACATACAAGAATACTACAATTTTTTATAGTCGATGACATTTTTAATTATTCTTGAATATAAAACTAGATTTCCTTGAAAATAATTATGTGAAAAGACTTACTTGGATATACGACAACGCTTCCTCAAGCCTAGCAATGACTGTGTCCATCGTAGGGCGTTCCATTAGATTGAAACTGATGCACTGATATGAGATTTCTTTAAACGTTTCGAAAGAACGGCTATCAATTTCATCCTTTATATAGGGATCAATCAACTTGTCGAGGCTGGTGTGATAGTATCGCCTGACAAAATTTATGAGAGATTGTGGCTTATCATCTCCAATGTTTCGTCTACTATAAACCAGCATCCCACTCAGCATTTCAAAAAGCACCACACCAAATGAGTAAACGTCCGATTCTTTATGGAGGATGCCGCTTTCATGGTAAGTGGGATCCAAATAAAACTTGGTACCTGCAACCTTTGTATAGATTTGGGTTTCTGGCTGATTTCTGAGACCCAATTTTGACAAACCAAAATCACAAATTTTTGCAACCAAATTCTCATCTAACAATATATTTGCACTCTTAATGTCTCTGTGGATCACTCTGTTGTGCTCTCCAAGACCCGAGTGAAGGTAACCGAGTCCTCTTGCCGCTCCTATGGAAATCTGTAATCGTTGTATCCATGTTATGCAACGCCTCTTATTTGGATCTTCAAGGTGATGATCGAGGCTTCCATTAGTAGCATACTCATAAATGATAATCATCTCTTTGCCTTCATCACAGTAACCAAAAAAACGGATGATATTTTTATGTTGGAATCTGGAGATCATCTCAAGCTCATTGCGGAACTCATGCTCTCCTTGGTAGCTATCTTGATCTAGGCGTTTGATAGCAGTTATGCAGTTTTGCCCTTGTGTGGAGAGTTGTCCTTGGTAGACCTTGCCGAATCCACCTCCTCCAATACATCTATGCGGACTGAAGTCATCGGTGGCATGCTTGATCTCTTCCAGTGGAATTAGATAATTTTTAAGGTCTAACCCTGAAGATGACATGGTCTTTTGATATCAGCCGACGATGTATGGAAAAGATAGGGTAATGGACGGAGGAACAGAGCAGGGGCTGGATTTGTTGTGTGATGGACTGATGGTGATAGCTGGTGGTGATGACGGTGGTTGTTATAGTCGGACTGCTGGAGGATACAAAGATAATGTAATAATCTGATTCAAGGTTCTGATTACAATCTGTATGTAGGCTCTTAAGGGATATCACATACTAAAGGTAATCCTAGTATTATATATAGTCTTACCGGTAGGATCACACTATTGCTGTAATGGAGTTTGCTTAGAGGAGCTTACCTAGTACGCACGTGGCTTATTAATTAGAAACTCGAATTCCTTAGAAAGTAGGTGGTGTTTGTTTCTTTTGCCATGTCTAGCTGAGTAAAGACGTTTAAGAAAAAAACAATATTGTTGTTTATACAACAAAGGGCCATAGAATGTCTTTTTAAAATCTTTTTACAAAATACAAATTAAAAAATTAGCTCAAGGACGCTAATCCTAATGTGGTATTTTTTTTCCTACCACCGCCGTCACCGCCAACGCCACCACCACCTCCTCCACTACCACCACCGCTACTCACTGCCACTCCCAACTCCGTCACCACCACCACCCACAGCCACTCCAACGTACGCCACCACCCACCACCTTTGGCACCAATGCTACCTCCGCCACCCACCCCCACTTCTACCTCCGCCACCTACCGCCACTCCTACCTTGGCCATCACCCCTCCACCGACTGCAATACCAACACTACACGAAATCAGTAAAATAGTGGCCACGCCATTAGCGGCGATTTGCAACTTTAGCGGTGACATGTAACTTTCGCGTTACATGTCACTACTAAAGGTGTGCGTCGCCGCTAATAGCCTCACAACTAAAGGTAAAAAACTGCGATATGCGTCACATGAATTGGTTAACCTGTGTGCATTGATATGTGTGCATTGATATGGGCCTGATCAAATGACTAGGAATGAATATCACTTAAACTATTAGCGGCGATGTCAATGGTGACGACAATCGTCGCCGCTAATGCTAAAAAAAAACGGTATAATTTCTCTCTAGATGGTGTCGCTACTAAAACCCTAGTGTCCCAGCTAAAACCCTTGCATCACTGCTAATAGTCTTCGCCGCTAAAGGTGTGTGTAGATATACCCTTCCTTTATCCACAGTTTCTATATTCTGTCGATTTTACCCATTTGTTTTTCTCTCCTGATTTTCGACAAGCAAATCGATCGAAACCCATGCACTCTCTATCACCGGCGACAGAAGGTGCAACACCGGCGATACAACACAACTACCAGATTTTTTGCCAAGACAATGCTTCTCCTCCTTTTTTGATTTCTTTTCCCTCCAATGACTATCTATTGAGTTGATTGCTTGATTTTGTGTATTAAGCTTTGTTGACCTCTAAGCTCGGGTTGTCATCACCACAACCACAACTTTTGGATTTTCTGTCACCACAACACCACCACCATTTTGATTTCGTTCCACCACATGTTCTATTCTACTTCACGAAGTAATTTAATCTAGTCCTTCATATTGTATGCATTATGTATGTATGTGTGTATGATGTATGTATACGGAATACAATGTGTAAATGCATGTAATGTATGTATATATGTATGTATAAATGTATATGTTTACATTGAAAACATAAAAAATTGTATGTTATAATGAAATAGTACAATGCTATAATGGACAAATGAAGAAAAGCAGGATTCTATAATGTATATGAAAAATGTGTAGGATATATGTTTAGGTGTATTTGTATGTACATGTATGTATATATATTGATTGGAACATCACTTAACTTTTAAGGGCTTATTTGGTAACTATAAAGCTACAATGAAAAAAATGAAAAAAAGTAAGATCTTATAGTGTATATGCAATATGTGTAGGATGTATGTTTAAGTGCATTTCTATGTATATTTATGTATGTATTGATTAGGACATCACTTAACTTTTAAGGGCTTATTTGGAAAGTACAATGTTATATTGGAAAAAAAATGGAAAAAATTAGGATGCTATAACGAATATAAAATATGTGTAGGATGTATATCTAAGTGCATTTGTATGTATATGTACTTATGTATTGATTGGAACATCATTTAACTTTTATGGGCTTTTTTGGAATGTACAATGCTATAAAGGAAAAAATGAAAAAAAAAGTAGGATACCATAATGAGAAAATATGATTATATATATATATATATATATATATATATATATATATATATATATATATATATATATATATATATATATATATATATATACTTGGGAGCTAAGGGGAAATGTCGCCGAAATTTTATTAAACAGGCAATCATGTAATACACATTTACGTATGAGATAAGGTATTCAAAAAGTGGGTTTTGAAGCCTACCCCTACGAACAGTCTATCAATATTTGATTATTTGTTCTCGTGTCGGGGATATTTTTAGAATCATCTACTATATGAATACTTTATCTCATTTTTGTTTCCTGTAGAGTAAACCGTAACATCCCGAGTTCAGAGTGCAAAGTTCAGGGTTCAAAGTGAAAATGTGAATGGTCAACTCGGCGAGTCCATGGGTAGACTCGGCGAGTAGGGTCGCGATTCTGGTCACGTGTCTAGTGTCCAACTCGGCGAGTCGGTGGCTGGACTCGACGGATTGGTGCTGTGTGGAGAAAACCCTAATCCCAGGGATTAGGCCCTATATAAAGAACATAATACCCTCTCCTCAGCCTCTTTGCTCTCCCTTGAAGTCCAGAAACCCTAATATTTGTTGTGAGAGAATTAGAGAACATTTGGATCTTGAAGAGGTGTTTGTTGAAGAGATCTTTGAAGATTAAGAGGCTTGGAGCAAGGGGCTTTTCAAGGTTTTGACTTATTCTTCTGTTGGAGCCTTCTTTTGAGGTAATGATTCGTTGCTTGAGCTGTTATCCATCTAGATCTATCATTTGTGGGATTTTTGGGTGTATATCTAGTGCTATGTTGAGTTTAGAGGTTAGATCTGAGGTTGCTACCTCAGATCTAGAGTAGTGATGATCCAAAAGAGCCAAAAGTCCCTGTTCAAGAGCTGTTGATGAAGTCTTTTAGCCCCAAACCTTAGCCCAAGAGTGTATTATGCTTAGATCTCCTTGGATTCACGTAAAGTTTGCCACTTTACGTGATGGATGGCTTGTATAAGAGTAGATCTATGGATTGGAGACCCTGCATGGCTTGGAAAGCCTCTGTATGGGTTCAGAGCTAGTGGTACTCGGCGAGTCACATGGGTGCACTCGGCGAGTTGCATGAAGATAGGCAGAAACTTGGCGAGTTGGAAGAACAACTCGGCGAGTTGGTTGAAGATAGCCTTGGACTCGGCGAGTCTGTTCTTGGACTCGGCGAGTTTGGTCGTGAGGTCCTAACCTTTTCCAGGCTAAGCTGAGAATTGGTGAGTCAAAGGATGACTCAGTGAGTTGAGTACGGTTTGACTCAGAGTTGTGGGACTCGACGAGTCTTGGGACGACTCGGCGAGTTGAGTCGTGTTATGGGAGTTTCAGAGCGTGGGGACTTGACGAGTCAGCGGGTTGACTCGGCGAGTAGAGTCAGTCAGGAGGGTTGGCTTTGACCAATAGTTGACCAGTTGACTTCCAGGGGTATTTTGGTTGTTAATGGTTTTTATTTGGTTTCGGTGATTCAGTGGTGGAGTTCGTGACGGTGTTCGGAGCAGCATGATCTTGTTTTGTTAGTCAGCAGTAGTAGGTGAGTCTTCTCACTATACGTTACCTTGAGTGGTAGTTATGTGTGACCGGAGGGTCTTATGTGCTTACATTAAGTATTATGTTATAAGACCGGACCGGAGGGTCCAACGATATAGACCAGACCGGAGGGTCCAACGATACAGACAGGACCGGAGGGTCCAACGATACGGAACTGGAGGGTTCCGCTGAGACACACCTACCGGAGGGTTATATTGTAGCCTTGAGTGGCGTATGTGTTGAATGTGGTATTTTGGGGAACTCACTAAGCTTCGTGCTTACCGTGTTATGTGTTTCAGGTTCTTCAGATTCGTTGGAAGGCGGCGGCTCGATTGTACACACACACAAGAGAAAAGAGTGATGAATACAGGTCCTGGAATTTCATAATGTTCTGAAAACCTTGTTGATGATTTTTAAACAAAAAAAAATGTTTATATGGAATAATGTGCATTTTTATGAAATAAAAATGAGTAAAATAAATTTAAAATTTTTCGGTGTTACAAGTTGGTATCAGAGCCTTGGTTTGAGGGATTCGGGTGCACCTTCGGGTATGTCCGGACTCAAACTGAGGATTGAGAAAAAGGTTTTCAAAAGAAATGGGTTTTCTAAAAATGAGTAAGAGAATTTATAAGAGAAAGAGACAACGAGCAGTGTGTACAATCAGCCAGCGCCCGAACGGTGATTTCCCAAAAATACCCTTACATTGTGTGTTACGAGTAATATGTGAAATGTTATATATGCTAGAGAGTAGGCTAGGTATTTCATATTTTAGCGCTAGAGTGGCCTGATTTGTGATGCCTTAGCCTAGGAGTTACTGTTATTTGTAAATTGCTTTTGTGTATGTGCGGGTTATTAGTATCCTGCAGGAATCCTATTTAGAGAAGGATTTGAGCAGAGGAGTAATCTAGGAGAGATACCTAGATGAGCATTTGAGGAGCCTTCTGAGAAGGTAGTCGGATACCCGCGAGGGGTGGAGTTGCTTGAGCTCGGTGACGTCTTTTACGAGTGTAGCAAGCGGAGTTGTAACCTAGAGTGGTGATACGTGTTGATAATGGACTACTCGATGCTCGAATGCTGCTTGATTCGTGCTTTGTGGAATTCTCGGTGATGGGAGTCGGCTACTAAGTAAATATGACGATATTCAGGAGGTAGACGGCTGGCATCACTAGGAGTTCTTCAGCAGCTGATGGCAGGAAGGTGTGGGAACCTAGGAAGAGCCTGGGAAGTGATCTTTGTTAGATGAGTAGGCGGATAATGGAGAGTATTCAAAG